TTGTCCACATATTCTTTTGGAATTTGTAGATGTATGCATATTCCCTACAGCAATCATTCATTAATTACAATTGATAAATAGATATTGAATAAAAGAGAAAAAAAGTATGTTGTAAATAATTTATAAATTAAATACATACCTTATAATCATGAAATAAGCATTCCAAAGTTTGGTGGTGCAATGGCGTGCGTTGATATTCTCTAGAAAAATAGCAGCATATTAACCTAAGGCATATAGATGTTTTTGTAGTTCTAAGAGAGAGTTCGAATATGGAAAGCTAATTAGACTGCATGGGAATTCAACCTAGACCGATGCACGCAGTATTGTGTATGAGTTTTAATATGTAGGTAGATGAGGAAAACATAGTATTGTGTATTGTGTATTGTGTATTGTGTATTGTGTACAGATTTTATAAGAAAATTTTAGTGAGAGTTGTATCATATATATATATATATATATATATATATATATATATATATATATATATATATATATATATACATACATATATATATATATATATATATATATATATATATAATCGGTAATATCCGTTTATTATTTTTTCTATTATTTAATTAATCTTAATTATAAAAATGTATACCGAATATTAATTTCATGTGAATCGGGTCAATTTTTTTTGCTATAAAATGATAGGACTTGCCTTCCCCAGCGCACTACTCATCAGAGATTCAAGAATCAGATTCTCTCTCTAAGGTTTTTTTCAAGGATAGCGGATTGCCGGCATCGTTCCTGGTCCCAGCACAATAGAGCATCCCTGTAACACCCCCGATTTTTATCATATTTTTAAAACTTAAATGCACAGGAAAACATCTAATCATCAAGACATAAAGAAAACGGAAGCTATATAAAATCGGGACATGTTATGCCACACCTATCTCAGACATAGGTGCACAGGCGGGAAAACTATCCATTCAACAAAACATAAAGTATCTAGGCACACAGGTCGCTAAACTACGCGCACAGGCCAACAAAAGATAACGTCTACACAGGACAACTAATCTATCTAGCGATCCACGTCTAGCGCTCTCAGACATCTACTCAAAACCTGTAGAACAAGGGAATAAACATGGGGATAACACCCGGTCACCGAATATTGTTGGTAACCCATTAATACGCGTTAAATAACATATATAGATAAGTATAAGCAAAACCATTTTGAAACAAAATACGGTATATATCATTTCAAAACCAAGGAGAGAAGTCAACTTCAAGACTCATCAAACACTCTCAAAAGAAATGGGAATTACCATTCTCCCAACAACGACAAGACAACAAACATGAAAGACAATACAACTCAGGATGCACTCTACTGATCACAAAGTAGAATACATCAAGACATGCTCTTAAGCAAGGAATTCACATTCACACAGTAGCAACTACATGCCACAGTGACAACTACATCTCACAAGTATCATAGTTCCAACCTTATGGCTACCCCCGGCCTTATTTCAGTTCCAACCTTTACCTCCTAGTGCCACCCTGTACTTCTGAGTCCAACCTTGTACCAGCAGGGATCGTCGTCCCCCCTCCAAATACCTCCAACATCCCGCCGAACGCTCAATACACGAGGGTACCATTAATTTCAATCACATAGTCTCCAACATATGAGCCAAGCTCAGATAACAGACCACCAATTTCAATCATAGTCACACAAGATCATCATCATTACCAAGAGGACTAAGGCTCAACAGTAAACTTAATCAAGTATCAATCAAAGGGTACAACGATTTACATATGTTCACATCATAGGAATCAATCAAGGGATCACAGCAAAGACATGAGACCATACTCAACGACAAGAGATCACAATCCAACACCAAATGATTGTCAACACAAGTTGCCAATCCCAATAGGAAGGAACAAACCATACATACTAGCATTTTAACATCAAACTAGCATGGTTAACAAACGGGTAAACCAAAAGTAGTTCCAAAGAACATTCAAGACTCCCATTAGTCCAACGAATCACAATGCCAGGCCCTTAGCACGATTCAAGACACGAAATCCTATATGGATCCCTAACATACCGTTATAGACATACAAAACATCAAGAAGACTCACAAATAGCCCAATAAAACAACATCGGGAGGTCAAAACATCAATACCGAGTAAAAAGAATCACGGGGAACAAATCCCCGGCCAACCACCACTGTGTACCCCGCGGTTGGGGCCACGGGTGGAAAACCACCCTCAGTTCCGCCCACGGGTACCGACCCACGAGGAACACGTTCCCCGCGGGTGGGGCGGCGGGTAAGGCCCTGCCCGCGGGTACCACCTGTACACCAAAAATATCCCTTCAGGGATTTTCAACAACAAGGCTAAGTTCAAGTCCAAAACACCCAAATTCTCACGCACAACAACAATATGACTTGAACCCAAGAAATAGCCAATCAATGGCATTCAAGAACCCTAAGAAGAAGCTCTAAACATGCATCACCACAAGACAATGCATCAAATCTCACAAACACTCTCCTTACTATCTAAGCTAAAACCTCACTAAATAACACTAATTAACAACAATCTACTTAACACCTAATAAACAACAAGGATAGGCAAAGCTCACCACTTTCTTCTTCTTCTCCATGCAGCCAAACCGCGAGTGGTGCGGCGGGTACACCACCACCCTATCCAACTGCCAGCGGGGTACACCAGAGCAACCATGTCGCCGAAGCTCCGAAACTACAACCTCGTCGTCGCCGGAAGAAGATGAAGACCGGAGGAGGATGGAGCTACTGCGTCAACCGTCCATCGAACTTGCCGCCGGAGTTGCTGCCTCGCTGGTGCTCAGCTTGACGTCACTACTGCCGAAGGAAGGAGAAAACGAGGGGGGCTTGGTCACTTCCGATCACTGCCTCAGCTCGTCGGAGGAGAAGCAGAGCTTTGCCGGAGCATGGAAGCTGCTTCGCCACCACCACCGACCTTGCTCGCCTATGCTGGAAAACTAAAGGGGAAGAAGGGAAAAGATGGAGTTGTTTACTGGTTACTGGATGCCGTCTCAAGAAGGGGAAAGAAACCAAGCATGCCTTCATTGATGCTTTGCCGAGAGAGAGGGAGGCGGAAGGAATTATACGAAGGGGTAGGGTTGTTTGGCTGAAAGGAGATCTGCTACTACTTAGCCATATTTTACATATCTATATTACAAATATAGATATTACTATTTGGGGTAGACTTCTAATTTGGGTTGGGTCATATAAGACAAATGGGCTAGGCTAGATAGGTTTAAGGCTAGGTAGAAAATACATCTCATTTTGGGCATAGAATAATCTTATGGGTTCAAGACCAACTTTAGCCTATAAAATACTTATATACAAATACTTTGGGCTTACAATAAATAGGTAGACTTAAGGTAATTAAAATCTCTTTTGGGCTTAAGGCATTTGGGTACAAAATTAATAGTTCATATAAAAAATAGACCCGAGCCCGTTTTAAATTAAATAGCTATATAAAAAATTTTAATAAAATATTTAATATCGGGACTATAGTTTATTTTAGGAAAATACGGGGTGTCACAATCCCAGTCCTGATCGCCATTAACCTTTCTTTTGGTTTGTATTCTCTCTCGGTTTTCTTTTCAATTTTTGTGCCTAAACGTTGGACAAAGTTTTATGTATCCAACTTGGGGGATGGAGTTTCGAACAACGATATCTTCTTAAATCCTCTCCTGTGTGTTTTTTGAATTCATATTTCAAATTTAATCATACACATAGGTAATCTAGTTGTGTGCATGCAGAAACAATTTTCATATATTAGTTCTTTGAATTCGTCCACACTCAAGTATGACTGGATTGACACTCAAGATGCTTTCAGCCATTGCCTCTTGATTCCCTTCCTTGTTTTCCCCAAACAAAATCTCTATAAGAAAACACAGTAAGTTTTTCTAGCCTTCCATTTCTTCAGCTTCATATTTCTATCTCTGAGACTTAAGTTTTATGAGTTGTTGTGTGGCTTGTTTGAGGTGTCTAGGAGGTGAAGGAGATGTCTAGCTTGGGAAGAAGGAGGAATCCCAACAAGAAGAGGAAACAAGAAAGGTATAACCCATGGATTCCCAATCTCTTTTTGGCTCTGTGAAACCACTGTTATATTATTAGAAATGAGTCTAAATGCTTGATTGTTGTATGTTTGAGCTATTAGATGACTTGTTGTTGTGGTATAATGTGTTAGTGATGATTTGGAAGTGGAATGTCTGGAAATGTTTTACAGATGAAGAAGAAGCCACTGGTGCACCTAACAGTGTGATGTGACTATAGTTGCTTATGAGATGAGATTGTTAATTATGAATGTTATCAAATGTTTTCCAAAGTATATTCTATAGTACTTTACAGGGTTGAGTGTTGTTATACTTAGCTTCGTACTAACGGATGTTTTCCTATTTGTCTTTGTGCTGTTAAAACCCTTTCAAGTGGGCCTAGCGTTAAGAAGTGAAAACAGGTCTTCCCGTGTGGTCAGTGTGACATACACCATTAGGTATGCATAAATGCATCATACAGTGTTCGAGAATACGCTAGAATGAAATGACAAAAAATGCACCACACAAAAAAAAAAATACACCACACATAATGGTGTATTTTTGAACACTGTGTGGTGTATTTATGCATACCTAATAGTGTATGTCGCACTGACCGCAAGGGAAGACCTGTTCTCACAGGAACCCAACCATATATATATATATATATATATATATATATATATATATAGGGTAATTTTCTGGTGCACACCTTATTAACCATGTGAATTTGTGGATCATTATGGTGCATCGATTTAATGCATCCGACGGTCACAAAGATTATGTCGCATCTGACTGCAGTGCACCTTGCCACACGTAGTACCCTGGTGTTTTACGTAACCTCTTTATATTGCGTTTGAAAAGAGTCCTATCCCGCTAAGGCGTTTTTGGTTTCGTACGGTACTGAATTCTCTCCCTTATACCCAGGATGGTCAGTTCGTGCACTGTCGGAGGCCAAGGAGGGACGTTGACGATGGATGATGAAGACACCGGTTGTTCAACAGGTTGTATGCGCCGATCGATCATATATTGCGTGCGCCCGTTTGGCTTGGACGGCGTGATGATTTGCATACCACCGTGAGAGTGTATTTTATTTTTCCTAACTTTTGGATTTGACTACTGTAGGTGCCATAGATATGTTGCCAGTAGCAGAGGTTACCGCACCGGTAGAGGGGTTGGCGACTTCACATTCGCTCCAGTGGAAGCCCAATGTGGATGATTCAATTTTGCCTGTAGTTGGACGCAAGTTTAGAACACTACAAGAAGGTATCGAATTCTACATGAACTACGCTCGAATAAGCGACTTTGACGTTCGCCAGGGGACATTCAAGCGAGACAGAGATGGGGTCATATTCATGCGCTATTTACTGTGTAGTCGGCAAGGGGTCAGAGGTGGTGGCAGGATTAACCGGCTTCCAGACCGTGATGTTGGTAGAGGAAAGAACAGGGAGCGCCAACGAAGGATTTCTAACAGAGTCAATTGCAAGGCCAAGATCTGCTTGAGGAAGAAACGTTTATGTAGAAGAACATATCCACAAACTGTGTTCTGAACCTTCTAAAATTTTTATGCGGATTAACCGGTAGTTGAATGTATCCCAACAAGCATTCCTAGCAAACTGTGTTAAGACCAATATCGGGGCATCGACAGGCTTGCGGTTTTGCAAGGAGGTGGCAGGTTCCTACGGGAATGTGGGTGCAACCGACGTAGAGTTCCACAATTTTAAACGTGACCTCCAAACTTACGTCGATGCCGGTGATGGCGAGATGATCATTGAGAAGTCCAAAGCGAAGCATGAAGTGTGTAGTGACTTCTATTTTGATTACCAGCTCGACGAAGATGATCGACTAGCACGACTTTTTTGGGCTGACCCCAGCGGCAGGCGCGCATTTTCTTGCTATGGTGATACTATTTCGTTTGACGCAACTTACGGCACAAACAGGTATGATGCTTACCCTGGTTTATCTATCCATGGTTTATTTGGGTATTGTGCATGAGTTCCATTCTGTGTGCTTGTGTGCAGTTGGTGTAATAGGTTTGATTTGCCTCTCCTAAATAAAATTGAATTGCAAGAGTTATAACCAGTCGAGTTATAACCAATAGTGTATCAATGGTGTGTACCGTCGATTTTTAAATCGTATGGAATAAAAAAATATTTAAGGAGTGCTACGATCACGAAAAATATTCTACTGATATGGTTAACTGATTATGCATACCCTTTTATTTTTCAGGTACAGTATGGTGTTCGTGCCATTCACCGGGGTTAACAACCGCAAACGATGCATCACTTTCGGGGTCGGTTTGCTCACTAAGGAGGATATGGACTCATACAGTTGGCTATTGGAGAGATTTAAATGCGCAATGGGAAAGACCCCATTGTGTGTTGTGACCGACCAAGACCCTGCTTTGAGAGTTGCTATCGAAGAAGTTTTACCAGAAAGCCGTCATCGCTTCTGCATGTGGCACATCATGACCAAGGTCCCGGAAAAAATCGGGAATGAGTTAGCTAAAGACGAGAAGTTTCGCAACAAATTAAATGCTATCGTATGGAATGAGAGAATCAATAGTGCTGAATTTGAGGCGCAATGGAACCTATTAATAGATGAGTACAACCTGACAACCCATCAGTGGTTTTGCAAACTGTACACAGAACGGGAGAGCTGGATCCCGGCTTATTTTACAGATTTTCCATTGAGCGGGTTGGTACGTACCACATCTCATTCGGAAGCAGAAAACAGTGTGTACGGAAAATTCACACGCCCTCATTCGAGTCTGGTAGAGTTCTACATGCAATACGAGAGTGTCATTGAAACGCAACGCTACAGGCAAGCAAAATTGAATGCAGAGTGTGAGGGATACATACCAGAATTCAAAACACCTTTAGCGCTCGAGCGGCATGTTGCACAGCTATTCACGATAACTATTTTTTATGAGCTGCAGAAAGAGATCGAAGCTGCCTGCTTTTACTCCCGAGTTGTAGGAGTTCGTGAGGACGGGGGGAGCATCTATTACGACATCCGAGGCGAGTGTAACACAATTTTCAGCGTACACCACGATCCGAAGGGGCTCAGTGCATCGTGCACCTGCAAGTTGTTTGAAAGAATGGGTCTAGTCTGCAGGCATATGTTCCTAGTGTTTCGAGACGCACAGCTTGGGCAGTTGCCGTCACAATACATTGTGACCCGGTGGTGCAAACATCTAGCCTGCGGTGCATGCAGTGGTCAGTTATCCGTTGCAAACGGGTCAACATGTGGAGCGACACGACTTTGGGCTGATATTAACACATGTGTTGGGTTGGTGGGCAGTAACACGGAGCGACAAGCACGTTTGGTCGATGTACTAAAGAGTCTTACGATGGAATTTGCAAGCGATGGTAATACTGGGGGACCTATTAAGGGTAATCGTGCCGCCATTCAGGCATTATGCGGTGTGTAAGCACCACAATCCATAACGATCAAGGCCCCGCACAAGCAAAAAACAAAGGTACTGGGAAGCGTATTAAGAGCACCCGAGAGCTTGCCATTGAGAAGAATGTCAAAACTGGACGAAAATGTGGGATTTGTGGGAAGTATGCCCACCATAACGCACGTAGTTTCCCTCACAAGTAATATGGTAGTGTTTTGGGTCGTGTTTTATTTTCCATTAGTCAATGATATTTGCACTATAATTTAGTATTGGGACTATTATGCTTAGCTTTTTCGATCTGAATTGTTAATTATTTTCAATCGGTTTATTTCCCATTAGTCAATGGTGTTTACCCTATAATTTAGTATTGAGATTGTTGTGTTTAGCTTTTACCAACTTAATTGTTAATTATTTTTCATCGGTGAATGGTGTTTATCCTATAATTTAGTGTTGAGACTGTTGTGTTCTGTTTAGCTTTTACCAATTTAATTGTTAATATGGCATGAGAAATTTACCACACTGGTAGCAGCTGAGGGGGACATGGGTGCATACATGGGTTGTCTCCTGTTTCTTTTTAAAAAAATTGGGTTACATAATGTGGGTATGGGAGTGTGAGCAATTGGATTTATTTTGGTGCGAGTTGATGTGAGCAATTAACCAGAAAATAACACCATATTAACAGGCAGATTGCTGGCCATTTTTTTAAACGGACACCAATACACAAAACTCGTAAACCAAAAAGGAGCAAAATTGTGCTAATGGTTTGCGCGTACATATTAACCGTGCTCAGTAAACCAGAAAAGCATACACAAAACTCGTAAATAATTATATCTAGATAACTTTTAATGCTACCCGAAATTATTAAACTAGTAATGTGATATCCCATTGGATTATAGACAACGAACCAATAGACTAAGCTAAAATCCCCTGCAAAACGCTACCAACACGCCTGAATTTTAAATACGCTATTATTGTGGTGTCAACACTACAAACCACCGGCTACGAGGACTATTGCATACGTAACTTATTCATGGCTAACCAGTCCAGACTGACACTCCATCATTGTGGTGGCTGCCGTGCCCACCGATGCATCTGTGCTAATCTTCGGCGCTCAAACTCTGAGGCGCGCGCCCCAATGCTGCGTGCATGAGTATTGGCCACACTCAGTAGTATATTATGAATGTATCGTTTGCGTAGATTGACTAGTTGCGCGACATTACCCCGCTGCAGGCCAGTGTCCAAGCTCGCGCACCCCTCCCCAAAAAAAGCCTCCATGTGCCGCATCGTGAAAACCCCGGAATCCGACGTAGAAGTCGTATCCCTCCACGCCATCTGCATCCTCTTGGGTTTCATGTTTTCAAGGCGTGCATCGCGAAGAGACTGGAGGTTAGAGTCCAAGAAACCAGCAAGGCATGTTATCTGCACAAATAATCACCGAAAACCGAACACACCCCTTTAATATATTTATGGATAACAAATGACAGCACTTAAAGTGCAAACAGTGTACAGAAGGCGAACATATGAGAACTAAACAGAGTTTGCACTTAAGAAAAATGCATCATGCATAGTTTCCCACCAGTACTTCAAAAATTTAAGCTAAAAATAATGTTAGACTTCCAAAATGAATGAAACAAATTAAAAAAACATACCTAGATTTCTAGCACTAATCTAACAGATTTAAAAGCAGAAAATTATACACCAACGCACCGTAAAACACAGAGGAATGAAATCAAATTCGCAGAGTAACAAACTTAAAAATAATCCATTAAATCGCTCGCAACTGTGAACGCTAATAATTTGCAGAAATTTGCAGCACACATAGCCGGCATAAAACGCTAGGGCGTGAACATATATTTCGGAGAATAGAGACACATACCAGCTTCATACATTTCTTTGTTAGGCTTCTTCGCCGACGAGCTGTCGATGATGTCAAAACTGTAATGCTTGAAGTTAATGGCCATCAAAAATCAGCGGAAATGAACTGCATTGCCATTTTAAACGATTATTAGAACATCGGCGGTAGGCGGTGTGGCAATTATTTTATCGAGCAGGGAAACTCACCAAATCTATGTCGGCCATCCCCCGACGTCCCATACTCTGCAACACCCCGTCCATGCGCTTCTCGAACCAAGCCACCCTCTCCTCCTCGCTCGATGAGACGCGAACCACAGTCCCAATCTGCATAGCACAAGCGGTAATTAGTTTGAGTTTGAAACCCACAAGGTCATGGGTGTGCACCAAGATGCTTACCGTCGTGCTGGTCGGTAAAAACACTCTCTTTGTCAACAAATCCCTCAAATAGTTAATATGATTGGCTGTTTATTAATTATATATTTTTTAATTTTTTCATTGAATTAATAAAATACTTGGTAAATAAATATATAACATTATTTTGTATTATAATTTTGATATTTAATTAAAAAATAGTGCACAAAAACGATAATAGACAATGTAGTAAATATAATCAATTGCTGAATTTGAATGTAAAGAATTTTTATATTGGAGGAAAATAAAGACAATATAACAAATAAAATTATTTCTCTTAATTAATTTATTGATAATGAATAAATTTTTCTTAATAAAGACATTGTAGGGACAATGTAGCGAATATAATCAATTGTTGAATTTGAATGTAAAGAATTTTTATATTGGAGAAAAATAAAGACAATATAACTAACGAAATTATTTCTCTTATTTAATTTATTGATAATAAATAATTTTTTTTTGAGTAAAGACATTGTAGACACATAACTCTAAACTAAAGAAATACATATGTATTAATTTTTGTTATAGCTACTAAATTATTATTTAATTTAATAAGAGTAAGTACTAATTATGCCAACTTTAATTGGGATAGGGTTCGAACCTAAGACCTTTCTTATTGAAATCAATGAGTAAGTTAACGGTGAACTAACCAAAATTAACGGAAAAGATAATATTTAACGGAAAAGTTAACGGATAATCATATTCATTAAGGATAAATTAGAAAATCTTAAGTAAAAATTAAAATCTGATCAATCTGAGCCATTCATTTGACTAAAAATTTTGACCCCCATTTTTTTTACTCATTATAGGCCTAACTCTCTTGGGCTCTTATTAGTATAGTAGAAATGATCGAATGGACAACATCCATGAGTGGAAGCCTTGGATTGTATATTCAGAGGTGTATGCACTGACGCAGTGATATGTGTGCACTCGTCCGATTGCTAACTGGTTTTGGTAACTGTTGTGTGCACTGACTTGGTGGTATGTGTGCACTTGTCTGGTTGTCGTGTGATTTTGAGTGCCAGGTGTGTGCACTTATTTGGTGGTGTGTGTGCACTCGTCTGGTTGCCGTGTGGTCTTGAGTGACAGTGCATACGATATTGCATACAAGTGCACACACCAAACTATTATCGATGTGATGACATACGGACAAATCAAAGTCAACTGTTAAAATAAGTATGGATGAAAAAGCTCTGAAAAAAATAGATAATAAAAGGAATATTCTACATGAAGAATCATATTCTACCATAAATACATTCAAAAAATCAAATATAATATCCTAATCAAATTCTATCCCTAATTAAATCCTATGTATATTTTCTATTATGCCTTTTTTAATTATGATTCCATTAATCCAACCATATATTTTCGAATCAATCACAATCACTCAAATCTTTGCAACCAATGGATAGGATTAGTCATAATTGTACGTCCTCCTTTTAGATGTGTCCTCATGTGAACAAGGGTCACAACTATATATTTAATTACAAGATAGTTTAAAAAGAATATAATGGACAATATAATAAATATAATTAATAATGAATTTGAATGTAAAGAATCTTAAATTAGGAAGTATTCTTCTTGTCTGGGAAATTAAGTCAAGGAATGGATGAATGATAAGGAAAGAGTAGCACTGTACAATAATAATATCAGTAGAAGGCCCTAAGCCCTATATAAAATATATATGTTTATGGTAAATGGAAATATATGACTGCCATAGAACAATATTCTGCATTTTATTATTCTTGACAATATTTCTAATCTAAAATACATAAATGGTTTCTTTCAGGTGTTTATCAACTTGAAATCAAGAGGGAATTAACTGTCTAAACGACCCCCCAGGGCAAACATAGGCAGAACCACGCAGAACTAACCTTTTTGCCCCCCCCCCCCCCCCATTGATTCGCCTTCCTCCGTGCAGCAACCCTCGCTGCTATCCCTGACGCCTTCCGGCTGACATCGTCCCGTCAACCGGAGCTAGAAACACGCCGGCGAAGCCTTCGTTTAAACGGCCACGACGCATACCCTATCCTGAGGCTATTGGTAGCAGGAGGTGTCGCGGGCGTTAATTGATGGCCGTTCTTACCCCGCTTCGACCGGCGATCACCATTCGACCTCGCCATGAGCTGGAATTGGAGAATTGATCGACAGAGGAGAGTTGGAGTGGAAAAGTCCTAGGACGGAAATTTGGATGAGACGGACCAGCTGTGTACGGTGAACAAGAGTATCGCACCAAAACCCACCCACAGAAAAAGAGATACAGTGCGAAGCATGCACATCGTAAGGCCTAAACCCACGCTCACAACCGTCTATCATTAAAAAAAGGGACGGTCGAAAACAATTCACACGTTCACAACTTAAGCAATGTTCACACCTGAACGAGACTATATATATATATATATATATATATATATATATATATATATATATATATATATATATATATATAATACGGTTAGAGAAGGCCGATTTTTAGAAGTAACTTGGTAGAAAAATCTCGAGCTGCTAGGTTGGATACTACCCGCTGGCCTTGGAATCCAGGTTAGGGGTGTGCACACTGAAAGTACGATATCTGATTCCACAGAAAACCCATCAGGGCCTGCAACACTAACAGAATTCATAGTAAACACTATTTTTAACCACATTTTCCTTAGGCACAGCAGTTAACATGGCATTATCCTCATCAATAACCAGACGTGACACACAATCAAGTTTAAACAAGTCAAAAGTACCTACATCTGCTTTGAACATATGCTAAAAAAATG